GAATGGGTACAAATATAGATCTCTTCCAGTCAGTTTGCCAAGTAACTATCTTCCAAATTTCTTGGCATAGATGAGTAAGTGCTTCATCAGCTTGTGGAAACATTTCAGTCGTTATTCCATCAGTTCCTGGAGTCTTGTTTTTAGCTAATGTTCTCAGTACAGCTTAAACTTCTTCCTTCAGCCCCATTGGTTTGTGCTCATATACTGCGTCCTGAAATGGTTGAATGTGGATTAGTTCTTTTTGGTATAGTGAATCTGTGTATTTTTTCCGTCTTCATTTGATGCTCCCTGCATCATTCGTTATTTCATCCACAGAATCTTTCAATATTGTAACTTGATGCTTGAATTTCTTCTTGAGTTCTCTCAGTTTAAGATATGCTTGAGCATGTTCCTTTTTGTTTTTTTAACCCTAGGTCTTGGCTCATTTCATTATAATATTTTAGTTTGTCTTCTTGAGCTGCCCCTTATTTTTTCCTGTCTTTTAATGGCTTTTTGCTTTCTTCATGAATGATGTTCTTGATGTCCTCCCACAACTTATTGCGTCTTTTGTCATTAATTTTCAGTGAAGCAAATCTGTTCATGAGATATTCTCGAAACTCATGTAAGATAGACTCAAAGTTGTGTTTTGGCTCCCATGGACTTGTTTTAATTTTCTTTAGTTTTAACCTGAACTTACATATGAGCAAATGATGGTCAGCCCTGGCCTGATTTTAGCTGCTGATAATTGAGCTTCTCCAGCATTTATTCCCACAGATGTAATCAATTTGATGTCTGTGTATTCCATTTGGGGAAATTCACGTGTGGTCACCCTTTGTGTTGTTGAAAGGTGTTTGTTATGAACAAGTCATTGGTCTTGAAAAATTCTATCATGCCATCTCCAGCTTTGTTTCTATCACCAAAACCATATTTTCCAACTACTGTTCCTTTCTTCGTTACTAGCTTTGTGGTTGGTGCATAAATTTGAATAATAGTTGTATTCATTGGATTTCCCAAAGGCAGATAAGAACAATCCTATCACAGACAGCATTGTACTTCTTGATTGATTTTGCAATGTCCTTTTTTGACAATGTATGCCATGCCATTCCTCTTGATTATATTATTCCTGGTATAGTAAATTATATGATTTTCCGATTCAAAATGGCTAATATCAGTTCATTTCAGCTCACAATGCCTAGGACATTGATCTTTGGGCATCCATTTCATTTTTTTTTAATCACTTTATTAGGGGCTCGTACAACTCTTATCATAATCTATACATACATCCACTGTGTCAAGCACATTTGTACATTTGTTGCCATCATCATTGTCAAAACATTTGCTTTCTACTTGAGCCCTTGGTATCAGCTCCTCATTTTTCCCCTCCCTCCCCGCTTCATGTCTCATGAACCCTTGATAATTTATAAATTATTTTGTCATATCTTACACTGTCCAATGTCTCCCTTCACCCACTTTTCTGTTGTCTGTCCCCCAGGGAGGAAGTTATATGTAGATCCTTGTAATTGGTTCCCCTTTTCCTCCCCACCCTCCCTCCACCCTCCCAGTATTGCCACTCTCAGCACTGGTCCTAAAGGGATCATCTGTCCTGGATTCCCTGTGTTTCCAGTTCCTATCTGCACCAGTGTACATCCTCTGGTCTAGCCAGATTTGTAAGGTAGAATTAGGATCATGATAGTGAGTGGGGCGGGAGGCTACACTTAAGAACTAGAGGAAAGTTGTATGTTTCATCATTACTACACTGCACCCTGACTGGTTCGTCTCCTCCCCGTAACCCTACTGTAAGGGGATGTGTCCTGTTCCTTACAGATGGGCTTTGGGTCTCCATGCTGCACCCCCCCTCATTCACAATGATAGGATTTTTGTTCTTTGATGCCTGATACCTGAGCCCTTCGACACTCGTGATCACACAGGCTGGTGTGCTTCTCGTGTGGGCTTTGTTGCTTATGCATCCATTTCGTTTTTGATGACTTCCAGTTTTCCTTGATTCATGGTTCACACATTTCAAATTCTGACCATTAACAGATGTTTGCAGCTGTTTTTCTCTGCCTTGAGTCATGCCCCATCAGCAAATGAAGATCCTGAAGGCTCCACTCCCACAGGCTTTACCAGACTAATATCACGATTTGCTTGTATTCAGTGACTGGAGTTTTCTACATAAAGAAAAAGGAGGACTATTCTAAACCATGGATGTGACTGTGGACACAGTCGTTTATATCATAAACTGTTTTCTTTAAAGCTAACCTGTTTTTAGTTTCTAGTGGCATTCTATAATTAGGAGAATGCTGTCTTAATTAAAGCACCTACTCTTAAAATCTTCAGTGTAAAGAAGACCAAAATCTCACAACTGGCCCAACAGGTAACACCATGATAATTGGAGTAACGATGGGAGCTGTCGAGGCTTTCATTTGCTTGGATCCACCATCAGTGCTCAGGGAAGCAGCACTGAAGAGATCAGATGACACATTGCACTGGGTAAATCTGCTGCACAAGACCTCTTTAGAGGGTTCAAGAGCAAGGATATTACTTTGAGGACTAAGGTGTACCTGACCCAAGCCATGGTATTTTCTATTTTATCATCTGTATATGGACATTGAATAAGGAAGAATGAAGAAGAATCTATACATTTGAATTATTTTTCTGATAGAGAATATTGAACATGGCAAAAGAACAAACAAATTTGTCTTGGAAGAAGTACAGCCAGAAAGCTTGTTAGAGGCAAGAATGGCAAGGCTTCATCTTACATACTTTGGACATGTTTTCAGGAGACACCAGTCCTTGGAGACGGACATTATCCTTGGAGTAAGTGCTTTAAAGTAGAGAGGCAGCAACAAAGAAGGCCCTCAACAAGATATCTTTACATAGTGGCTGCCACAGTGGGATCTGGCTTAGGAACATTTGTGAAGAGGGTGCAGGACCAAGCAGTGTTGTCGTGCATAGGGTCACTGAGGTTCGGAACTGACTCGATGGCACCTAAACAGTCTTAAACTCAGAACAGCATATTCATGAGGACCTAATGTCGGGGGTTTAAGTGGAGAGAAAATGTTTTGAGAATGATGTACAAATGCGCTTTACACAATTGATGTGTGTATGGATTGCGATAACAGTTGTATGAGCCCCTAATAGAATGTTTAAAAAAAATTAAACACTTATGTTATCAAAAATAAATAAATAAATAAGTAAATAAATAAAAGACAATGAATAGCAGGCTGGCTCAGAAAACAAAAAACAAACAAACTGCATATTCTCCCAAGTGCTGTTTTTGGGAAGCTATCCCAGGGTACCACCGAGGGAAATTTTTATGGCAGTGTTCTAATGTCTCTGGCAAATAAACATTTTTAATAATGGTCCAATGCTATAATCAAATACTAGAGCAGCGCTTCTCAACCTGTGGGTCTCGACCCCTTTGGGGTCGAACGACCCTTTCACGGGAGTTGCCCGATTCATAACAGTAGCAAAATGACAGCTGTGAAGTAGCAACAAAAATAATTTTATGGTTGGGGAATCACCACAACACAAGGAACTGTATTAAAGGGTCACAGCATTAGGAAGGTTGAGAACCACCGTCCTAGAGCATTTCACTTAATAGAAGCAAAATAGTTGATACCCAAGTAGGCAATGCCCTCAAATAAGTGATGCAACTGGAATAAAAAGAATCGCTGCCCTTTCCTCAAAATACTGTACTTTTAGTAACCAAGAACCTTGTCTAACCTGCCTTCGTGGCACGGAAAACTAATGTGTCAGCAGTCTTTGCTGCAGGCCCTCTGGTAATTATGCTGGTGGAAATCGAAATATCACCAAGTTTCATTAGACTGATCTTTTAAAAAAATTGAATTGGTAACTGTTTCTAAAAATACATCAGTATTCTCAATTTTGTATTTTCTCATAGGAAAAATATTTACAGCCAGAAATCAAGTTGTTGTGTTTGGGTTTTTATTTTAAGTGCATCTCGTACCCCTTTTACCTCTCCAAATAGGTGTTCTTTGCTTCAGATATTAAATGATTTACAGTGACTGTTAACTTCTCACATGCTGTAACATAGTCTGTGATTCTTGGTGTTTTACTGTGCAGCAGAGGTCCCACTGTTATTCCACATGACTCTCTTTTCTTCCCCTCTAGACTTCTCCAGAAAGCCCTGGGACAGTAGGTGGGGTGCCAACTGTATTGTGTTGCCTTCCTGCTTTTTTATGTTGTTGCCTTCCTGCCTTTTTTTTTTTTCCCCTCTCTCGGCTGCTCCTTTCTCTGCTAACTAACTAATCCCTGCATGTATGGACTTAATGAAGGGCTCCTGGCCTTTCATTTCAATCCTGTAAATTCATGTGTCAGCTATGTTTTTGTTGTTTCTTGTTTCGTTTTTGTCACATCCGTCAGGACTTGTCCCTAATGCAATACTATGATTGACAAACTTTGGAATGTCACCTCTACTTTCTGTAAAAGTATCTTTCCATTTTAAAATGTTCCACCCTCCTATCCCAACCAAGTCCATTGTTCCCACCCTGTTCCCTGGTCCTTTTTGTGAAACAATAAAATAATCTAGTTAAACAGATTCCAGTTAGGCATTAACCCTTAAGTTGCTACCCTCCAAGAATAGTGATTACTCAGGAATGGTAGAATTCCTGCTTCAGGGACACAGGGGGGGCGTGAGCACTATGGGCAGTCCCCCAGATCTAGAGGAGGAGAATGGCAACATTAGATCATCCCATGTGTGTTAGGAAAACATTCTTTTGGTGAGATGCTTTTAAAAGATTTGACCTGGTTCTAACTGTCTCACTGAATATTTTCCCAAAAGTATCAGTCTGGTTTGGTTCCTTTTTCTCCCTTAGTGATTTATCTGTTGGGACATTGATGTTTGGTGTCCATGTGATGTCAAGGAGTCTGACGGTCTGCATGATTGTTTATCATTGCTCTGACCCTTTCCACCCACCACAGGAAGAGGGGAAGGGACCTTTTAGAGATGTTGCTGAAATAATACATTGGCTTTTCTCTTTCTTCTCACCATATAACAGAAGAAGCAGGCCAGCTCCCTGCAGACTCAGCTATGGGCATGGACAGTGTGGAAGCGGGAGACATAACCCCTCCCACCAAAAGGAAGAGCAAGTTCTCAGGCTTTGGCAAGATCTTCAAACCCTGGAAGTGGCGGAAAAAAAAAAGTAGTGATAAGTTTAAAGAGACATCAGAAGGTAAAATATTAAGATTTAAACATACTTTTTTTTATTTAAACATAATTTTTAAGTATGCCTAACTTTTTCATTCTCTTCTCTAACTCCCTAATTAAAAAGGAAATTAATATTTCAGAATGAACAACCAAATGGCAACTCATTATGTAGCTTTGTTCCCAGATTGGCGTTTTTATTGGAATGAAAGTCTTATCTATGGGGTTCCTGATTTAAAAGCCGTAAATCAAAGACGCTGCTTCTTTCAGTCTGCCCACTTGGCACCCACACATCATTTAGAAATGCCTTCTTATTGAAATGTAAAAGAAAGAGTTTACAATTTTGCAAAGATAACCCTTTTTGGAAATAATACTCTTCCAATAGTGCAGAATATGAAAGAAATATTTTTAATTTGAAATTTTTCCCCTGATTTTGTTTTGATTTCTGTCTGTCCTAAGAATAGAAATTTCAACTAATTTATTTTTTTACCTATGAAGTTAGAATGTTGAGTAAAATTAACCTTTTATTGCCACATTTCTGAGTACTGTTTTCCAAACTAATGTTAGTTTTAGAGCGAAAGATTTCTATGCGAAAACCAAGAGAAGAGCTGATTAAAAGAGGGGTTCTATTGGAAGACTCCGAGCAAGGTGAGTTTGCAAATGAATAGCATATAATGCCTCTTTTTTTTTTAATCCTCTTTTTGTGCACTTGGTGTGTGATCAGTCTGGATTAGGTATCAAATCTTTCTTTTTCTATTTTCCCCACTTTTTTTTTCCTGGTTGTTGGCTCTTTTGCTATTGTAGTGATTTTTTTTTATTTTTTTTTTTTATATTCACCTTTTCCTCCAGTGTCTACATCTCCTGGCTCTGATCTTCTGGGCAACTGAATGCTTGGGGAAGGAGCCCAGGGGCAAACATTCCCTGTCTTCCTGTATGTTCTTAGCTTCGTGCCAACTGCAGGATATGTTGTTTTCTTTTAAAAAATCCAATATTGTATTTATCTGCTGCCCCAGTCTTTTTTCTATCTATTGTATATGTTATATTTTGCTATTTCAACCTTTATTGTTGGTTTAATATTGCCAGGACTTGCTCCACTGTATGACTTTTATGAAGCAGCTTATCATAAAAGTAGTACATTGGTGCATTTCATTTTCTTTTGGAGGATAGTCCTACTTCATAGCCCAAGCAATCCCAGTATGCTAAAACTGTCTAGGGTCCTTTTAGTGAAAGAATAAAACTATCTAATAAGCAAATGCAAGTAGAGCATTAACACTTAATGCACAAACAGATGGAATATGATCTCTTTAGATTTTGAACCATGTGAATGCATTGCTTGCTCACAAAATTAAACAGTATAACACTATATTAAAAGCAGGAAAAAGATTAAAAGAAATATTCCAAAAAAGTGTTGCTTACTTCTAGAGATTGCTATGGAAATGTGACGGAGTCCTTCTTACAGTTTCTGGCATGTCTGCGTGATTAGTAATGAGCATGTTTAACTTCTGCTTTTGGGTAATGTCTTAATGAGCAAAATATGAGTGCGCTGAGTTTAAAAAAAAACAAAAACCAAAAACGTCAGAGATGTTAGGAGGTGAAAAATATCCTTTTTCAGGATATTGAGTGATGAAAAGCTCCAGCTGCCCCAAAGTTTCTCTAACGAGGCAAATTTCTCTTTTTAAAAAAATCATTTTATTAGGGCTCATACAACTCTTATCACAATCCACATATGCATCAATTGTGTCAAGCACATTTGTACATTCATTGTCCTCATTATTCTCAAAGCATTTGATCTCCACCTAAGCCCCTTGCATCAGCTCCTCGTTTTCCCCTCTCCCCACTCTCTCATGAACCCTTGATAATTTATAAATTATTATTTTGTCATATCTTACACTGTCCGACATCTCCCTTCACCCACCTTTCT